AACCCGTTTGGACATGACTGTCACCCACCTATAAATACTGTGAGGCGCGATACCACACTCACCTCCGACGATGGAAGCTTGTATGCTTTTGAAACGTCAGGACAGTAAAACCATGGTTCCCGAGATCGCCTTTTCTTCTCATTTATGTCCGGGGACGCGCATCTTCGCTTCTATTAGCAATATATATATATATATGTCACTTAAGTCCAACGGATGACCTTGCCTGGGGGGAATGTGCTCATAAACCAACCTCGGTTATATCAGGCATCAGTTCGCAGGCTCATCCCTGCGCGTGTTTCGAGCCCTCATTGCGCCCTCCTTATTATCTTAATCCAGCAAATGGTTAAGTATGCTTGCTAATGTCATTGTTCGGACAGTGTGGAACTCCGCCAGCCCCACCATAATGGCCGTGTGCTGCGAATTAACACGCGGTTCACTCTGTGGCCTTCCATTTATGATTGCGTTCTCCAGGTCCTCTTAATCTGGCGAGTGTCTGTGTTGCGGGTAGTGTACACACGTCACTTTCGGTTACACCAAGCGTCGGTTCACACGCGCTTCCCTGCGCATGTTTCGAGGTCTGCTTGCGCTCTGTTCCCCTTTATACTCCAGCGAGTGGCTAAGTTGGGCATGCTACCTAAAATTGTTTTGGATGGCCAACCATATGGTAGCAATCAAGTGAGGCTGCAGGACCAAACCTCACCGGGTTGTTTGCCATTAACCGTCAGTATTTATAACACAGTAGATTTCATCGTCTAAACGGCTTCTTCGATCTTAAAAAAATTGTGATCTCTCCTGCAATGGACACAGTAATCCCATGGAATTCTGTTTGTGCAGCAGAAACTGGACCGGCACTAACCTACTGTGAAGCGCTCTTTCCACGCGTTAAAAATTAACAAGAAAAATTTGTGAAAAAAAATGGTTCTTAGCTAGCCTTTTAGATTTCCGAGCCACTTATTCAACCGCAAACAGTATGTGCGCATTCGTGCATCAGGTGGTGCTGTCATATAAGTAGGCTAAAAGAGATGTAGTATGATAAGCACCAAGCCACAGCTGTGTTGACAAATGATAAAGAACGCAAGGGTCGCATTCAGAACTGAAAGTAGACGAGACAATTGGGAAGGTAGGAGACTAGCTAGATAGTTCAACAGTCATGAACAAAGATGTATGCCATTTGCCTAACAGCATGACGGGCACGGGGACGGTGAACTGCACGTGAATTAGATTATGCTGATAGTAGACTTCTGCAGCATCTTCCCCACCGACATGGGCCCGAGGTCAAGGCAGAGTCAAGAAGACCGGAGACAGATCGGGCGTCGTGACTGACAACACTAAACAGTCACTCCACACGCGCCACATCCGTCTCCTCCGTGCACGATGAATCGGGTTTTCACTTAATAAGAAGGACGTATAGCCCGGATCTCAACTGTATGGAAGGGTCGTAGAGCCTGAAGGAAGTGGAAGCTATTGCAGTCTGCCTCTCTATCCTGAGAGGAGAACCGAGCTATCACTTCAGGCAGCAGCCTTCGAGGCCACGGATGGTAACAAACTGTGACAGATTCATGCGCGCCAGGCTGTTTATGGTGACTGGTGTGCGCTGATTCGGCCTCATTCTCTCTCTCTCTTTTCTTTCATGCACCAGTCCTCAGTCTGTGCCGGTCAGCCGCCTGCAGCTGGAATTGGGCACAAGGGGGTGCTGAGTCGGAGCATGTCAAACAAGGGGAGAGATAAACATCAACGATTGTTAGGCGGCCAAATGAGTGGGAGTAGCCAGGTTGAGAGGCAAAAAGCGAGACGAGAGGAGCGGAGGCACTTTGTAATTATCACGTGAGCCGAGTTCTGCCATGCCCTGGCTCACCCCCCCCCCCTTGGTGCCACTGTTCTGAGTAGACAAACTGCGCCTGTGCGATCGGTAAACTACAATGCCAACATGGCATCAGCAGTACAGCCACTATACAAACAGGGCTTTGTGAGTAAACCTCTATGTATCTTTTTATCCACTCTCAAGAACCAATTAAGCATGCATTTAGCTGTCCTTGTGTGGCTGCGCGCAGTGTATTTGCATGCGTAACTGCGTACAAACTCACGAAAACAGTTGCAGGTGGCGCGCACAGAAAAGGCCTACTTAACTGCTCTGATCGAGACATTAGTCGCCGAGTTCACCAACGTTAGATTATCAATGATGTCCACCCTTTTAACTATAGTATGGATTTTTTTCCGATCATGTTAACTACATCAGCCCCAGCTAAACGGGAACAAATTCTCACGTGGGATGTTGAAAGCGTAAGTGGGGAAAAGAGCCGAGGCCGAAACGGAAAAGGCAACCTGATGTATGAAACATGTGTCGCGAAATTAAAGGAAACCTTGAATCTACACAAAAGACCTGACTGTCAGGACATGCGGCGCAGCGGTACCCCAAACCTAACGATAAACGTAATCGTCACCTCAAAAAGAAGTCTAAACCTTAACGTAATTATAAGCCTAAAGCTAGCCCTAAACTTAGCATTAAACCTGACCTTCATCCTACTGCAAACTCTAATCCCAACCCCAAACATAACCGTAACCCTAATTTAAACTGTAGCGCCACTCTAACACTAGCCCTAGCCCCACCCTTAACGTAATTCTGAACCGCAATCCAAACCCCAGCTCTAACCGGAACCCTTAAACTTAACACAAGCCCTAATCCTAAACCCAAATCTCAGCCTGACACTAATCCCAACCCAAAGACTAATCCTACCTCTAAACTGAAACCTCAGGCTACCCTTTTTCGTTTTAGCTTTGGCTACTTTCCCACTAGCGACTTCATCATCCTTCTTCGGCTTACTTTGATTTCAATGCCCACACTGCGCTTACACTTGGGACCAAGACAGCGTGACCGACTCCTACTGATAGGTTTGTGTGTCTCTTGCTTCAACATGCTTCTAAGTCCATGTTGTGACGCTACGCCCGTGCAACGCGCGCAAACTTAGGCAAATTGTGCTGCTTTGGACTACGCTCACGGATGTTCCACGTTCTCAAGACGTTTTAATTTATAAATGAAGAAGAAGGGCGGTCGAACATCGGGACATTCTGTTTATTTTTGTGAGCTTTTGAAGTCGTGCAGGAGTCCACCGTCGGAGATAGCAGCAGCAACAGAACAAGCGACGGTTATATGGTGTGTTATCCAACCATCGATCGACGAGGCAAGACTGGAGGTGACAACGCAGGATTCGGTACGCTGAAGCCAGATCAACGAATCTATTGACTGAGTTCTCGTCCGAGACTCAAGCTTCAATCCATTTTCGGTCTGTTTTTTTCTGGCGAGGGCGACTACTTTGGTGGCTACGAAGTTAAACTCATGACCCACTTCCAATGCTCGACCACCCTTCTTCTTCAATTATACATACAGCTGGAACTCGAACTTTCGCCTTCATTCGTGCTTTAATATATTTATTTGTGGGTAACTTGGTTAGGCTGTGTCATGCCACTTCTCCCCGTGCCAGGCATTTGCAAGTGATTGTTCAATCGGGCTTAACTGCTTGGCTCAGGAAGACGATGTCAAGGTGAACTAGGAACGAACAAATCAGGCACCTTATTCTAGCACTGAAATTCCTCAGCATGCATTTTGTTTTATACTTTACCGTCCTGTTTTACCGTATACCA